CTCTGTCGGCGGCCCCGGTTGTGAAGAAAGGGAGATGGAAAAAGGGGAATTTAAATGGTCATTCCGCTCCGTTTGATAGTTTGCTTATTTCAATTTACGGCTGCCTATCTCGAACTCACGGCTGTGGGAGGCTTACAATCCCCCCCCCCAATTGTACGTAGGAAAACCTACACGTTTCACAAGAGGCTTTCCTGCTAGGGTGGTTGTGTTCAGAGACACGCAGGGGCTGAAGCTCGTATGGATACCAGGAAGAATTGCAAACACACGCACACGTTGTGTCCAATTGTGGCTGCTTTTTAGAGCTGGCTACTCAGCCACGGCCAGGCGAACTTCTGCCTTGGGAATTTCTACCCCTTTCCAAACCCCTTTCCTGGGGTTCCAGTACCCTAAACTAACCATACGGCCTGAGTTTGCCCACCTAAAAAAGGAAAAAAAGTCACAGTTGTCTTAAATTTCCATGTTTCGTGACTCTGCACGGCTCAGTCCAACCCACTTGGGGTTGTGGATGGGGGTGTCCTATAACTTGGTGTGGGGGCTTCTAGATTGCCCCATTCAATCCTGAAATTGTTAACTCTTTGCAGCCCCCTGGGCAGGGCGGGGAGGGGATTGCTAAAGATCTCAGAAAATTCTTTCCATGGGAAAAGTTGGCTGGCTCTCAACCGAGAAGGAATAAGAATTATTTGGGTGCCGTGAGAGTTGGGGGGAGGTTACTTCCCAGATCCTCCTGATTTTCTTCTCCCCCAATTTCAAAAGGAAAGGACTAAGAAGATTTTTCAGTGTAGGATGCATGTCACTCCCCCCCCCATCTATTGGTTCTCCTCTTAGCATTCCTGCATTGTTTTCTCCCACCTTAAAAAAAAAAAACTACTTTCCACACAAACTTCACCTTCCTCCCTACTTTTTCAACGCCTTAGCAGATTTGAATGCGAAGATACAGGTCGTGGGGTGCCTGGGGGATGGGTTGGAAGGTGGGATATTGGAACAGACTCCAGCGCAGGATTTTTTTTCCTGGAATTTTTAAAAGGGGCAGAGGAAAACCAGCGAGGGGAGAAGGGAGAGATAAGGGGCTGTGATATGCGGTTTTGCCCAGCATGGTACAGACAGGGTTAAACTCTGGAATGTGGGTTTTGCAGAGACTTTTAATAAAGACCAGATGGAGCACCATATGCTGGACCGGAGAAGCCGCCCCCTCCCCACCCAGGCTCTGCCCCCCACAGATCCCATTAAATCAGGCAGTCCCTTGGCCTCCCTCGCTCAACAGAAGGCTGATACTCAACAGGTAGAGCTTCTCCGTCTCCCTATTTTCATACTGAGCTCCAGTATTTCTGCACTGCCCACTCTTGGGGGCTGGTGGCAGTGCGGTGAGGGCTCCAAAAGGCTGCAGGGTTTGGTCCCTGGATCATTGGTTGACCCCCTCCAGTAATGGGGGGAGGGTGCTGAACCTGTGGAGTTGCTACCTCCTGCTGCTTCCTAAAGGAGTTGCATCAGTGTTTGAGTTCTGCAGGATTCCTTATCCAAAGGTGTCAGAAGCAATTTTTTAAAAAAAACAGCACTTCTGGGTGGCTTCGCTCCCCAGAATTTGGTGATGGAAGGAACACATTTTCTGGGTTCAAGGAGCACATTGAAGGCAACTGATGAAGGATCTAGATTCCCACAATCCACTGAGCCACAAGGGAACAGACCAAGGTTAGCATCTTGCACAAATGGAGGTCTTAAATCTTCCACTGAGCTGGACAAGCATTGCACAAATGTTTCATTTATTTTGCATTTCCCTTCACCAAGCATTGAAATCATGGAAGGGGAGAGATGTGGTTGCAACATTAACCTCTGGAACAGCATCTACACAATTCTTCCCCCATTTTCCCCTGGCCAACAAGCCTTAGCATCAAGCTACAACATATATTTTAAACGCAGCTGCCCAACTCTGCTTGATCTTAAATGCTAAGCAGGGTTGCTCACATTTGGATGGGGGACCACGAGGAAGCCCCATATTTTTCCCAAGAAAACCCCTTGGCGGTGCCCGTGAAGTCAGCTGGTGTCCCCATGAAATCACCACACGAAGAAGGAGGTTCTTCAAACTGGGGTTTAGTCGCTGAAGTTTCTGCTAAAGTAATAACAATAAAAAACGGGTCTTGCTGAGTTGGAGCCCAAGAGGATGGCAGATCGGTCAGGATTTCATAGGAGGAAGACAGTACCTCTGAGCAGGTCCAAAGTGCTTTTCCGTCATAGCGCCGCCTTCATCTAGGATCCCAGAGCTCAGAAAGGATTTTTTTTAAAACGGGGATCACCACCCTTGAAAAGTTACGGCCTCTGCAAAGGGTCTTGGCACCATGTTTTCTGCAGGGGGTGGGAAGTTAAAAACCACATCCTGTAGCTGCTGGAAGAATCTAACTCCTACAGCATCTCTGCTACAGATTTCAAATACAGATGAGAGAGAGTATGCCAAGTTAGAAAGTGCCTCTGAGCATGGACAGGGTGAGGAGCACCCGGCAGGCTTTTAAGAAACAAAGGATTGTCCCCACAGGGTAGAGGTCTCAAAGGATCATTTCTTAATTTTAGAAAAGAAGGCAGGAATGGGGAGAGAAAGTAGATGCCTGAGTGTTCATCTTTTGTTCCTTGTTTGGCAATATTCCCTTCTGGAAGTTTTTATAATGATCTAAATTAGTTCCACGGGGGTGACATCACCGGGTGGCCTCCCATCCAATTCTCCACCCCACTCCACCCTACCTAGCCAATTCCTTTTTGACTCCTGAAAGCCACCCTAAACAAGAGCCCCACCACTCTCTTGGCGACAGCCTTCTCCTAAGTATTCAACCCCGTTCCTAAAACACACAGCTGTCTTTGCAAATTAGCCTGCGCAAATATTAAGTAAGTCCGTGCCCTCCTTTGCCCGAGCGGTGGGCAGGGAATCTCTAAAGGGGCTCCCCTCCCCATTGAGAAAGCAGTGGGGCAAACTGCCTTCCCTTCTTTCAGCTGCAAGGAAATAAGTTTTCCGGATCAGGGGGGTGGGTGTCCTGCTGCATTCCGCCCCCTGCCTTCTTCCTGAAATTGGAGATTGTGTCAAAGGCCTCGGCCGTCCACTGCTCTGGGATGGGAAATTCACCACCCCTTCGGCCCACACACACAGGCTCACAAGCGAGGAAATCGGGTGGGTGGGTGAGAGGCCTGGGAACAAGGATACTCCAGGTCCCCTCTAGCAGAGCTAAGGGCCTGGTGATTGATTGGCGTTTCCAATCTGGGCACATAAATAACACCGCGATGAGGATGATGATATCGTTTGCCATCGGTGGCCGTAAGGGAAGCTCTGGAGAAGTTCAGCCACCTGTTTTAATCTGGAGAGGTTCAGTGGCTGCAGCTAGGCTCCCGGGATGATGGAGGTTGTAGTCCTACCCATCTCAAAGGTCTCAGACAGGGAGCCCCGAGGCTTCACCTGTTACAAAAGGAGTGTGCAAAGGCAAAACCTTTATTCAAGCCCTCTTTCCTTTCATTCTACCCCACAAAGACCCTGCGAGGTGGGCTAGCGATCGGGTGCCCCTTTCTTTGAGGCTCGTAGCTTGGCGGATCAGCTCCCCAACTGACGACAAGACCTGTCTGGGAAATCCAGGGAACATTCCCCCCAAAAATGGCCAGGGGTGTGTGCACGTGAGCGAGTGGCAGTTGGGCCTAGGAGTTAGAGCTGACTCAGCAAGGAGGCCCTGGACCCTGGGCTGCCCCCCTCAGGTCTCCAGCCCTCCAAGCAATGGGGAGGTGGCCGTTCCAGCTTGCTAGCAGAACAGGCAGCCGAGGGTTGTTGCGAGGTCAGGAGGAACACGGTGTCCCGTCCCTTGTTGCAGACAGATGTGTGCAATGTTGGTCCCCGCCCAAAGAGCAGCAAGCAAGGGGGGGCGCTCACTTATACAGAGCCCAGCCCAGAGGGGGTGGGTGGAGAGGAAGATAACTGCACTGGCCGATGTCCCATCTTCCTTGTCTAACCCAGAGCTCTCCTCTTGCTTTTTTCTTAAGTGGCCACCTTGTTGAGGCCCAGTCAAAGCAAGGGGGGGAGAACTAGGAGACCTATAGACCTAGATAAAGGAAGCCAGGTCCCCAACTGCCTGCCCTCCAGATGTGCAGGAGAACCAACTCCCAGCATCCCCTGCCAGAACAGCCTGGGCGCCCTCAAGATGCCCTGGACATCTTTAGTCCCAGAATCCCCCAGCTGGGACAGGTTGGACAATTCCCCAAATAGCCAATTAGCAATTGCTGTCTGGGAATCCCGGGGGATGTGGTGAAGAGGTCTCAAGGTGGCTGCAAACTATCAAACCAGGCCTGCAAACGTCCGACTGACCAGCAGAGGGCAGCAGAGTCACGTGTTTCTGTAACTCTTTGTCGCCCTCTATTGCCTGCCCAAAGTATTGCAGCCCAAATGCGTGAGCTTTAATGTACACCTTCCTCTGCAAAACCCTATATACATTTGTCTTCTGTTTTTTTCAAACCGTCCTCATCACAATTGGCCGAGTTAGGTTTTGCTGAACGGCTGGCTTTGCTCCTTGTGCTCAAACCCTGGTGGCTAACCTTGGTTGATTGCATTTAGCGCTCCTCCAGCCCAAAGGGGGCCTGTCTTCTCCCCAATCTTTGCCTCA